TAACAAATGAACGCAAATTGAATACTGGACCATTAGGCGGCGGGAGTAGCATTTTTTTCATAATATATGAGATTTGAGAACAGCTTCGAAAGCCGGGAAGCATAAAGACTTTTAACACTAAAACTTTGGTAGGTAACAGTTTGGCGTTGAAAATAATTGGCAAAATGTAGATCAAAACCCAAATAAAAACAAAATTTGAAAATTTTGACCAAGAGTAATTGATAACGGCGGATAACTGCTCATCCTGCATCCTTGGTTTGGATTTAATGATAGATCAAGAATGGGTTCCAAAGATTAGCGAATGATCGGACTGAACTATCTATATCAGCACAAACAAAAACAGAGAGAAATGATTGAGTACCAGCAGACTCGAAAAACTAGTAAAAAATGCCATCAAGGTTGAAAATGGCATCCTCAGCAGCCAATAAGTTTTAAAGGGAAGCAAAAAAAAATTCGAAAAAATCCTGACTCCGTGCAAATGATTCACTGAGAAGTGTAAGCCCAGAATAAATTCCTGGAGGTATTTAACATGCAAAAGGAAGCTAATAAAACTTATCATGACAGCAAAAATGCTCTTTACACCGATTTGATAGTTCAGATTCAAGTAAACGTACTTTTTAGTAGCAAAGAACGACCGCTGCATCAGGAGCCGTTTCAACTGGGCCAACACGCTACGCCGAATGGTTCTCAATTTTCATCTGAAGAAAAGATATTGTTTGATAGACATAACCAAATCCTTTCACGCACTTCAACTCACATAGGTTTTTTATATAGAATTTAAAAAAAATCAAATTAAACACTGATGCAAAACTATTTTGGTGGGCTTACAAAAATAAAACTTTGAAAAGTGGAAAGCCTTGAAAAAGATCCTGGAGCAGCAAGAAAATGCTATCTTATTGAGTCAACTCACTCGAACTGGGTAAACCCATCCCTATCCGTTAGGAAAAAAAACGGATCACTTAAATTAGTGCTTGACTACCGAGGACTAAACAGTCATATCGAACAAATATGCTGTCAGCTACCAAGTACAAAATATGTCAATGACTCCTTGGACGGCAACCCGTTTCTGTAACAATAATTCAAATTCTGGTCTTTTTCAAATAGCTCTAGAAAAAAACTCCCAAATTTTACAGCTTTCATAACGCGGATGAGTCTCTGTAAGTGGAAAAGACTACTCATAGGTCTCACTTCACATCCAGGAGCATTTCAAATTTTAATGGAGTAAAAATTAAGCTGACTAGCAAAAAAAACTGCGTTGATGCAGGTAGAACATACTATCATCTCTGGTAGAACACTTGAAGAAAAAATGGGCAATTTGGAAAATGTTTAGTTTCGGCTGAAAGAAGCTGCGTTAAAAAAAATCTCAACCCAGTTTTTTTTTCAAAAGAAAAGGCATTATCTTGGGCATTTTCATTCAAACAACGTTGCGGAAGTTGATCCGGTAAAAAATGAACGCAGTTAAGCACTTGAAAGAGCATCACGGTATCAAAAAACAGCGGGCGGTCTTAGGACTCAATAGATTCTGAAGAAAAATTAATGAAAATTTTGGAAAGACAGCAAAACCACTTTACAAACTCTTAAGTGAACTTGCAAAACAGTTTTGAAGGAGCTGAAAGCAAAACCACAGCATGGAACAACACTGGATTCAACGAACGGTGAAAATATTTATACCCCTACAACTGGATATGGACCAGTTTGACACAAAAACAGAAAAACGTGGATCGAGTGATTGCGTACGCCAGCAAAACACAGAAAAAAAGAACAACGGAAATACAAGGCAACCCAGAAGGAATTATACACAACTGTATATTTTTCGCATTATTTCCAGAACAAAATGTTGGTAGGAAAAATCTTATTGATAACGGATCACAGAGGCTTAAATTGGCTTCACAGCTTCAAGGAGCCGGACTGAAAGATAACTAGATGGTTGAAAAACTAGAGCAGTTCCAATTCGAAATCAAACATGTGGTGGGAAAGAAAAATCAACATGCAGACTGTATATCAAGAGTTCCAATTACCACTGATGAAGTGGTTAGGTTAGAAAACTAGGAAAAACAACAGATGTTTCAAGCAGGATATGAGAACAAGCACTGAAAACTCCTGATATGGAATTCCAAACAGTTCAATTTAAATCAAATAAATAATATTAGCAAAAAGCTGAGCTCACAAAAAAGCTGGAGAAAAAGCAAATGAGTGACCCCTCAAAAACGTTATCGAAACTTTGGATCATTTTGCTGCCGGAAAGTTTGCTGCTGGAAAACGGCTTACGAAAAAGAAAAAACTGACAGAAGAACAGAACCTCGTAGTTCAAATTGTAGTGTCTCCGGCGTTTATGGAGGAAGTGTTTGTTTCGTTATAGGAACCATAAGGACATTTTGGTTCCGAAGTGTCTTTTCAACAAACCCAAGAAGGTTTTACTAATATGGAAAGAACAGAGATTTTAAAGTTTGGGTTAATAGCTTTGAAAAATGTATAGCCATGAAGAAATCTAGCCAGAAACATGTGCATAAACTGCAAATATGGAAGCCCAGTCATCAAACTTGGCAGGTAGCACTAAATATCTTGGGACCGTTACCGGAATTCCGACAGATTCAAGTACCTTTTTCTATTGTAGAACAATTCTCAAAGTGGTACGAGGCAGTACTATAACAAAACCAAGATGCCATGACAGTAGCTAAGGCTTTGGTCGATATATGGATTTCACATTTTGGTTGCCCAGCGAATCTGCACAGCGACAAGGGATCAAAATTATGTTAAATCTTTTCAAAAACTTGTGCTCCGAACAGGGAGTTAACAGAACTAGCACATCATCATATCATTTTCAGGGAAACGCAATGGTCAAAAGAACCGACAGATCAGACAAATTGAAAAAACCTTGTCTAAATAAGTGGAAGAAAACAACAACGGCTGGGCCAAAAATCTGCAAATTTTTATGATGGCTTTTAAATGTTCAATTCATGCAGTGACAAAATACAGCCCGTAAGCGTTCAGCTGATATCAGCTCCAGAACAACTCAAGAGTTAAGACCGGCATATCTTCAAGCTTTTATCTCTCAACCTATCAGGCTTGAGTTTATTTCAAGCTTCCATCTTGTGCTCTCTAAATAAGACCTCAATTTTGCTAATTTTGAGGTTCTCAAACTAGCTATTATGTTTAACTGAGCCAATCATAGCTCATTTGAGCTTCTAGCTTGTTTTGGCACAACTTTAGAGCAGAAACATTGAAATTTCAGCAAAAAATATAAATGTAGACAAACAAACTGAAAACCTCGGAAGCTAATTTTCATACACTTGAACGGAAAAAGAACGGAATTTGATGATTTGATGCTCAAAAATTTTGTAAGTTTTTTCACAATGCCTTTTTTGACCTGTATTCTTGGGACAGAGATAGGTCTTGTGTGTTTTCCTTCATTTTTGGTAAATCCTTATTTTACAAAAAAAGTTAATGATTCTAAGATTAAGCCGTTTGGAACTCCGGACTTTGTTTTCGTTTTTGCTACTTGATTATTTGGTTGCATAAGTTTTGTTTACAATCAGATAAAATGAAAACTGAAAATCTTGTGCTGCTACTCTTATACAATAATCGTACCATTTGGGCGAGAAGAGCTTGTGATTACAGCATTGAGCGCTTTTTTTATATCAAGAAGCGTACACTGATTTTCAATGGCTGTCAAATTCGGTTCCTTCAACTAGAGAAGCGATAGCATCAACATTCAGCAAAAACCTTCGCTCTTGCCTGAATCCGAAATGAGAATCAGTTTATCGATTAAAATTCAGTTGTACAGTATTCGTTCTAGTATTTTGCCAAGGACGGGTAAACTTGAAATTGATTGGAATTTGGAGGGTTCGAGTTCATTTCCTTCTTTATGTTTTGGTATTACTTCTGCAATTTTTATTGATCTCGGAAAAACTGTGTTGTCAAATCCAGGAGCGCCGTATCCACCATGGTCACGAAAAGCGCGCCGTCTCCACCTCGGTCGAGAAAGCCCTGAAAAACTTTTCTTAAAGTCGCGCCAACTCCATGTTGGTCTAAAAAGTCGCGCCGTTTCCCTCTAGGTCTGGAAAGTCTGGAAATGGCTAAAATTCGTCGCGCCGGTCACGCTGTTTCCTGAGCCGCAGTGTCGCGCCGTATCCGCCACGGTCGCGAAAGTCGCGCCTTAGTTTTCGGTCGCGAAAGTAAGGAAATGGTAACTCTAGGTCGCGAGAGTCTTGACATACCAAATATGAGTCGCGATGTTTTGGTCGCGCCACCTCCGCCTCGGTCGCGATAGTCACGATGGATCATCATGGTCGCAAAAGTCTGGAAATGCCAGGTTTTGGTCGCCAAAGTCTGGACATACCTAACTTTGGTCTGGAAATTTTGGACATGCCAAAATTTTGTCGCGAAAGTCTGAACATGAGTCTGGGACCTCGACCCGGGGAGTAGAACATCGGATTTCATAGAGGAATACCATGGAATATGGTGGGGGAAGACTGGGATATGCATAAACGTGCGTTTCAGGCCCAGTAGCGGATTCGGAGGAGGGGGAATCGACCCTCTGCCGACCCCAAAGATCTCATGTGATACTATTTAAGACATCCACATTCGCTGAACGATTCTAAAATTTTCTGAAGGCGCCGAAATATATTAATTTTGAGAGAGAGCGCGCGCCGAAAAAACTATTTGTTGGTCACTAAAAGAGTGCAGAATTTGTAAAAATCATGAAAACATGTCCTTCTCTAGTTTGTATCAGCGGAATAACACGGCAGGAAACTTTTAGTATTGATGGCTTTGAAATCAGAGTAGGTCTTTGACTTGTTCGTGGTTTATTGTTTGCTCATTTTTACCAATTCATCAAATTTTTGCAGGTTTTGAGGCAAAAATCTCAATTTGTTTCCTACTTTTTAAATTGAGTTAAATGAACTTTTGTCTTTTGATCATTAATGGTTATATTTCCAATCAACTGAACGTTCATAAAGACTTAACTATGAAGTGTAGTTAACTTGAATTGAAAGCAGCCTTTGCTATACGTTCTAATTAATTTACCCAAGGGTTTCAGCAAATTCTGAACAAATGTTAGATATTGAGTTGGTATAGGATATGCGCTTCTATTGCTTTAAGCAAACACAACTGAAAGCCTTGAAATCCTACTTCTATACATTTGAACGCAAATGGAACAGAGCCACCCGATGCAAACTTCTTTGACAACAACCCAGCTTCCAGGAGTTCGGCACGAGTGTGAATCAACCTATGGCTATGTTTCTATGGTCATCATGTCCATTATGGGCATAATTGGAGCAACGGGCAACTCTGTGCTGATTGGCTGTATTTTTTCGAGGCGAGAGAAACTTGCCAGTGACGTCATCATCTGTTTTCTGGCCTTTCTGGATATGAGTTTCAACCTGGGTCTGCTACCTTCTATTCTGTGGATGAACAACTACTACAACATGATTGAAGACAACAGCTGGGCTATGAATCAGATCAAAATGGAAGGTAGCTTATGACTTATTTTGCCTTGATTAAGATCGGTTTATTTCTAAGCAAGGCTTAAGTTTTTGATTTTTTCACTCTTTCGTAAATTTGAATTTGAATTAAAAAAATCGTTCTTTGAATCAAAAATCGAAACTTTTACAGCAATCTTTTAACAACTCGCAATAGTATTAAAAATAGCTTACATCTGCTTGATTTTTTCGATAAACTCGAAGGCTTTGAAAACATTTCATGTTTTTTTTCAGCGTACGTGTGCTGTTTCTACAGCTTCGCCACCACCACTTTCTTCTTCTCTATCGCTTTCACCCGCTACCTGTCCATCAACGCCCGCTGCAGGGCCAGAATGGGGTCCAAATCTACCCGCATAGGGTTCCTATGCCTGGCTATATGTCTACTTTACATGGGGGCCACAGTGGCCGTTTCTATTTTCTACTCTATGGTGTATCTCATACTCACAGGTGGGTAATAATGATTTAACCTATTCTACAAGCGTAGGATAAAATTTCACATATGAATGGGATGAGTTTTTCATGTATCAATTTCTTGCGAGAACGTTTTTTTTTCAATTTGCTACGACATTTATTAATTAAGAACAAAGCATATAGTAGTAAAAATTTTGCAAGAAAAAAATGAGCAGACATAATTTTGTAAAATTATTTTTAAATCAGGTTTGAGACTTTTGAACCGAAAAAAATAGACATTGAATGATTCACTGAGCGCTAATATTTTCTAGGTGTGATGATGATTGCCACTTTCGTCACTTACCTGCTCCTGTACCACGAGATTACGTCATACATGGTGGTCTCAGTTGACAAGCCCAGTTGCACCATGACAGCAGCCCAGAGGGGGGCTATTATGTCCCTATTCTACACTACTATTATCTCTTTCCTTCTTCTAATGCCCTGTATGTCTACCATGTTTCTCTGGTGCTGGCAAGGATACTCAGACTACGTTTGGGGCAAACTCGACCAGGACTGTTTCAGTTTCATACTCCTCAATGTTTTCCACCATCCCCTAATGGCCATTAACTTCTCCTGTCATCCCATTATTCTGTTTTGCACCAGCCGACTGCTGCGTGAAGAGTGCATTGTGTTCATCCGGAGAATCAGTTTGAAACTCTCAGGGGGAGGATCATACAGCAACGTTGAAAATGCTCAAAACGTGAACAACGACGCTTGAATTGCGATAACAAGTTATGTGAATGGAAATACAAAAGGGGTAATTTAATCTCACAAAATAGTTAGAAATTGTAAAGCGTTATAGACTGTATAATAGGGTATTTCATTAAAGAATAAAAAGTTTTTGAAAAACTTTAATTAATTAAATTTTAGTATAATTTTAGAATAAAGCATCTCGGGCTACCTTTCTATTGGAGTCTATCCCTGGGGCCATCGCTGGATCCAGGCCTGGCCAGGGGAAAATCTATGTCAAAGTCGTGCAGGGATTGCCCTGGACTTCCTTGAGCAGTCTAAGAGTCCACGACTGGGCTTCCATGTTTTTGGTTGAATTTCCGAAAATGCAAATGTTTTGAATCTGTTCTAAAACAAATCAAACCAAAGGCTCTTCTCATATAAGCAAACCTATAGGTTAATCGCCAGCTCTTTGCAGAAAAACTGCATTTGTTGATTAACCATTGCAAGAAAAGTTCGAAGATTTCACAGATTTATGATGAACGACCATAACTTTTTCTATGTGGCTAGATAGTTCTGACCTAAGACAAACGGTGTTTAGAAATGTTACAGATGCTTTTCTGCGAGTTTATCTGTTCTAGGCATATCTTTTTTTTTGAAAACAACAAAAACACTAAATATGGATCCATGCAAAACATTCATTTTGAGATAGATTCTTTTGCGTGAATTTACAATTTTCATGAATTTACAAGTTTCATAGAGATCCCTTCATATAAGTTGAAAGAATCCCGCGGTAAGTGAAATATAATTCTTCTATATGAATCATGAAACTAAAGCTGTGTGCTGATATTTTGTTGGTGAAAAAAATGGGCGTCATGAAACAATTATAATCAAGAAGAAATTAAAAAAAAACGTTATATTTTTGATTTGATTTAAAAACATTCAAAACAATTTTCCCATTTTTCACATAGACCAACTTCTAGGAAAAGCATAACTATAAGCAGTTCAGGTGCAAAATGGGCAAACAAAAATGATTATAAGCAATTATGATCGATTATAATGGATTTTTTCTACAAAACAAAAGAATTAGAAATTCGGATAAAAATAATCGATTATAATATAATGTATTATAATTGATTATATTTGATTTCAAAAACAGAAATTATAATCGATTATCAATTAGTTAAAATCGTTTTTTTTTTCAATTTTTTTTAAGACTCGTAATAAAATCATTTTATAATTGGTTGTTAACGCTTGAAACTAGATGCGGGTGCTGATTCAGTCATTCCTGGAAAACTACCTAGCAGGTTTTGCGCTCATGATTTTTCTAAAATCGTTGCAGGAATTTCTTGAAAAAATACGGGAAATGTAACCCGGGAGAAATCTTAAATTTTTTAATTTTTGAATCTATAAGACACATCATAAATCGCAATTTTTCAAGGATACGGGTACAAAAACCCATGTAGCAACAAATCAAACTTGAACTAAGTTGAGTAAAATTTGCAGAATAAACCGAAACTCAAAATAAAAGTGAAGTTAAAATTTTAACCATGATTTTCAAGGAACTTGTAACGTAGTTGTTGCAAAACGTCTGGAAAATTATTTTGGTCTTTTCTGTTATACGACCCAAAATTATCAAATTTTTCATTGGACTTCTGTTTTCTTTGTGAATCCAGATTTTTTTTCACTGGATTTAAATTAAACAAATCAGAGTCAAGCATCATGCTCCAGTTTTCAAAAACACTACAAAATCAGTTTTGGGCCGCACAACAGAAAAAACTCAATTACTTAAAAATCCGCTGGTTTTAAAATTATTCTATCAAAATTTAAATTACACGTCAAGTGTAGATCAGGAAACTAGGTACACCCATGCTAGACAGGTATCTCGAAAAAAATACTGTGATGAACAGGACCTAAGTATTCAATTTTTTTATTCTAAGTACTTGTTTTGCAGTTTTATTCGTTGTAAAATAACCGTATTTAAGTTCAACATTTAAGAAAATCATTCAGGGGCTTTCATCAGGGATTCACAAAAAAAACATTTGGAAGTATGTTGCGATACGTTTTTGTACTGTAACCTTCCTAATAAACTGAAAGTATGCAAGCTCAAGAAGATTTTTTAGTTACTGATCTGTTTACTATTTTAGTAACGTTCATCAGGAAATTATAAAAAGCAAGCAGTTTATATGCTTTTTCTAAATAAATCATTATTCAAGGATGTTAATATTGTTTTTAATTGTAATTTTCAGAGAATCAGAATCAAGAGTTTTAAACGGAATAAAATTTGTCCGAATTAAACGCTGAGATGAAGATCCTAACTAGGTCTATCTGGGTAGGAACGATATTATTTAATCATACTATTCAAGTATAATAAGATAAAACCCCTCCCCCAATCAATTAAAAAAGTGGGTAAGATATAGTTTCTTGTTATACATAGAAATTTTTAGTTTTTGTAACATCAGGCATGACAGGCACACTGACACATTTTGCACAGACACATTTTAAAGGCAAATTTTTGGCTTAGACAACAGTAATCCCATGCTAACAGTTTTCATCAAGCTTTGACAATCAAGCATGATGAAGCTTTGATAATCTTGAAAATCTATCCTTAAACAGCTTGTTCACCAATTAAAAACAGTAAGGGCCAATCTCTTATTAATAGGGCTCAGTAATCATTTTCTGACAAAGGAAAGTCAGTTCCATAGAAAAACTGTTTTGTAGACAGAGGCAATTCAAATCAATGATATCAAGAGTTAAACTAACAAAAAAACTAGCATATTTAAAAAAATTTTGTTTTGATTTGACCCGCAAAACCATAGAAGGTGTCGCCGTGTGAAGAAAAACAGTCTAATTTATTCGATCATTACTAATGTTTAATTTTTAAGCAACCTCGACTTCCCTTTGAAGACAAAAATAGAATATCGTGATTTTCCCAAAATATCCTTTTTGAAAAAAAGAATTACTGTTTAACCATATCGTTGTTAAAAACAATTTATATGTGTACCTGAAAAACTTACAAGTAATGAATATCTGTCCAAAAAAAAATTAAATCGAAAATATTACAAGAAAAATATCCAAACATCTCTGTGAAAAACAGGTTTTCGCAATTTTCCTAAATGGTCTAATTAAACTTGAAACTTCTTAAAATTTGATCGAATCACGACTGAAAGGGCTTTTACATGATATATTACTCAATTCACTCCGATAGATTTTTAAGAAAATGAAGATCAACAAGAAGAACGAAAATTGGGCAAGATTTTGTTTGTTGCTATCAACGAACGAAAATTAGGCAAGATTTTGTTCGTTGCTATACAATGAGGGTTATTCTTTTTTGCAACACCGGTGTTTTGCAAAGACACACTTTTGAAGCAAATTTTTAACTAAGTCAACAATGACCATATGCTAACGGTTTTTTAAAGCTTTGAATGAGTCAATATTTTTATGATTTTTACAAAAAAATATGTGAAAATTCCATTCTGTTTAGAAAATTGAAACTCATTGTAGAGTTGGGCGATCTAGAAAGAGGGTCAATCTGTTATCAATCGAGCTCAGTAATCATTTTCTAAAAATGTTCTTACTAAAACAGCTCCATAGACAAGGATGGCAGAGCAATGACATCAAGAGTTCGACAAAATTCTCATACTGAAAAATTTTGCGGCGTGCCGATTTGAACTAAAATTTGAGATACGTTCTTTCTGTGTGAAGAAAAACGATGGAATACTTGTGTTCATTACAAATCCTGACTTTTAAGCAGCAATGCCTTCCTTCTGACAACAATACGATTTCCTGTCCGTATCACAGCCTGCACCTGCAACTTTGCAAGCGGAACTACCAAAAGTTTTTATTCATAATATAGCAGAGATTGTCAAGAATATTGTTCTTATCTGTAAGAATAACATCGAGGGTTGACACTAATTTGAATTCACTCCATTCGTGTTAAAAGAATATTTCAAACTGTTTATAATAATCATTGCTTAACCAGTTTTTTAACAAATGCGAGTCTTATGTGTGCACTGAGGAAACTTGTCGAAAAAAAAGAAACTAAATGAAATAAATGAAATATTCAAATCGAAAAAACTATTGATAATATCCAATAGTCTGTGTAAAAACCATATATCGCATTTTTTGAAATTATCAATTATAAGCGAGGATAGCCGGTTGCTCTACCTTTAGCACATAATGTTCCGACCACATTGAAAACAAAAGCAAGTTTTTTTTCTTCACGTTAGTGTCGTTTTACATAGTTGTTGTGATCAAAAAACAATACAAACGTGTATAAAATTAGCGAAATTGGCTAAATTGACTGCTGTTATTCTCAAAAAAGAAAAATAAATAAACACATGAGAAAGTTATCAACAAAAACCCTTTTCTAATTCATTTTCTAGTAAGTTTCCATAAAAAAAAAACAGTAGGAAAAGTCCAGCAGAAAAGATTCGCTGATGCTAATCTATGAAATATATCCTCAGAAATCTATCGTTTTTGTCCCAGGAAAAGCTCAAAGAAAAGGCGCTGTTACGAAAGTCGTAGCAAAATTTGCCTTTTCTGTTTTTAATCCGTTAACAAAATTGCTTGCCTATTGCAGCCTATTTATCACATTTTTACCAAAAGAAACTTCTTTAGAACGACCATTATACAAAATAAGCAGATATATATTGTTAAATAGCATCAAGGTACGGCTTCGAGTGAATAGGCCATCAGAAACTGCCACGAGAGAACATTTTTTGGGCCAGTAAGATTGGTTTAATAACTTTGTCCAATCATTTATTCAACAAAAATTGGTGAGGGGCTCGAACAAAAGAAACGAGAATTTCTTTTGCATAATTATAGAGTAGATTTTGCAGACTTTTTGACATTTGCGCGAAATAGTATTTAATGTTTCAAAATGATGAGGAACTCGTTAGCCCGCATTTTTCGTTCATTTTTTATGTACTTTTTGAAATTTTATCGTAAATCGCGACTAATTTCTTATGGAAACATGATTACACGAAGATCCTCCTTTGTTCTAACTCTGTTAAAAGTCATAACCATTGTTATTTTCTTGATTTATTTCATCAGTACTTTAGTGTATCTGTTGCCAGTGTTGGGAATTGTGAAAAGAAGGACTTTTCTGAGCTTGGATGATGCTGTGGCGAGATTTGAGGGCAGACAGAAG